GTATTGGTCTTTACTATTTCTCGGGCCCTCTCTCTCTGCAGCTTGAATTATCAGTGGCTTACAAAGACTCCTCTTTTAATGTCGTATCCCCTCAATGTCATTTATTCTACTAACAGATATGATCTATACAGGTTCTTAGACGACGACATATTACTATTTTGTTTTCTCCTACAGGACTGTTATTTTGTCACAATTTTGCACTCAGATTGGAAGATTGTGCAGTTTCAAGATAATTGGATTTAGGATTGCATAGTTCTGTTTTGCACTTGACCTACAAGTTCATTTTTGGATTACTACTTTTGATTGTCATATCTTTTTTGGTTACATGTAATTTTGGAAGTGATGGCTTGTTCTAAGTCTTTTTTTGTGTGGTGTTGTATGTGGACGGAGGAACCATTAGTTTTCAATGTATCTTTTTGCTTTTTTAGTAGGAATCCTCCTTCCCTCCCATAATTGTATTATCTCTATTATCATTAACGCATAAGGAGCCACGAGTTGCTCTTTCAATCAAACATATATATATATATATATATATATACACATCAATTTTTGTACATGTATATATAATAATATTATTACGATCACATGCTTTTCTAATATTATTATTCATGATTTAATGGATCTATTTAATATTATTTAGAGGATGCAAGAAATTCTTTATAAATAGATTTTAGACAAACATTTTGTCATGTACTTGACTTGGCTATATAATATAATATATAGGGTATATCATGTTCGGCTAAATTTATTCGGTTTAGAGGCTATTCTTTTGAGTACTCTTTATTTACTTAGTTTCTGATATAGAATAGTCCTAAAACTATTAATAATCTTACATTTTCATGCAATAATATAAACACATCAAGAATCTCATTCTCAACTTTTTTTATAAATAATTAAAGTTGCTCAGATATTTACTTTTGTTGGAAATTTTGTTCTTAGCTGCTCCAGGCTCTTGATGCTAATTAAATTTTTCGGAAAATGTCTTTCCATGAGATTTCAGCTTCTTTTAGTAATAATTATTGTATGTAGTATTTGGTAGGAATCTAATGTTTTAATATATATCTATCTAACTATTGAACTTTTTTCATTATTGTTGTTGTTATAAGTTAGCTTTTTATCCAATTGACATATGATGATTGAGCTAACATGATTTAAAATCTAGAGCAAGATGTTTTGACTTACCTAACAGAGTTGAACTTACATAATGTTCTAATAATGTCAATTTGAGTATGATGTTCTGAACTAACATACCTAACATGATTCAACAAAGATTCAATATATATCGTAGGTTTTGAGCATAACCAACTTATTCTTTATCATGAATAAAGAAATTTAAATCTTTTCCTTCTTTTGAATGTTTGGTAGGCCATAAGCAATCATGATAGCTAAATTCAAATGATTTTAGTGTTTATATGATATTACAATGTAGACTTTATTTATAGTGAGTGGGCCAACTAACATTTTTCCTCCTGAACTTTTTTTTTTTCCCGATCTAATTGGTGTTTTGAGGGGTATAGGTTTTTATATTTTTACTTTTCAAGGGAAGTTTAAGTTCTTGCTAAAAGAAAAAAGCTTGCCTCAAGAATATTTTAAAGGTCTTACACATCAAGAAACTAGACATACATAATCTTAAAAAAAGATTCAGATATCAAAGCCTCGATTTTGCAATTATTAAATACTTGATGTAGATTTTTAGATTTTCACCATCAACAAAAGTAGTTACAGAATATATTATTCCTTTGTGCCAAATTAGGTATTAATAATCGCAACAGTAATCATATAACGCATTTTAAAAAGAACCTTCGATGATATAAATTTTTGGGTTGAATATCTTTAATATAGTTTCATTTAATAATTTTAGACATGATAGCAGTTTGAGAAGTAATAGGCCAATTTTTTATAAGAAAACTTCTTGATAAAACTAAATCTATACCTGCAATCCATCCTTTTATATGGAAAACTCAAATCATCATCATGACATGTAAGCCATCTAATAGAATAAGCATTTATAAGTTTATTTTGAATGATTATGGCTCGAGGAAGAAATTTTTCATTTTAGGGATTAACTCTAAGCATTTGCAAAATTCTTGCTTGCTCTACTCTTTGATTTTGAGTAATCTTAACATTACTCCTTGATCTATTCTGACATGATAGCTTGAGCCCCTTTGGTAGACAACTTCAAGTTTCTTTCAATAATTTTAGAATGAAAAGTGGGAAGCCTCAATCTTATCATCTAAACACCTTATACAAATGATGTCTCTAAGCACTATCATAGTAAATCTAAACACCTTATAACATGAAGTCTCTAAGTACTTCAAGTTTTTTTTTTCTCTCAACTATACTTGTTTTAATACTGATGGCATGGAATTTTACATTAGATGGATATTTGATAATACCATGAATGACTTGAGGTTAAATTTGGTTTCGAAATGCTTTAAAACCATAGATATTCGTTCAACTAAATTTATCTCACCAATATCAAAGTTGTTGTACTCTTCTTCTTCTGATTGTGATATAAAATAATATTGCACAAATGGTTTATTCTCAAAAAATAGACAAGATCAATAATATTATAAGAAATTAAATTTATGCATTCAAGAATTCTCTCTCTTCCCAAAATGCTCCTACATTGCAAGGCTAATAGCGGGCATAGCATTGATTTCTATTTGTTAACTATTTGTTAATTTTTGTTTACTTTGGATATGGATAGATATTTCCTTATAACAAATATTACCTTAGGAAAGAGTAGGAGTTTGTTATGGGAATTTGTGAGGATGGCTTTGATAGTTTAGCGCTTTGAAATCAAGATCCATGAAAATTTGCATCGCTATAAAGTTTGCATTCTCACTCAAACCATCGATATTATTTGGTTCAATAGCAGAAAGAATGATAAAGGTAAAGGAAGATTAAAGAAGTGAGACACATTTGGTATTTGAGTTGATAATATGGTAAAAATGTAAAGAGTTTGATTAGAAACTTTATTATGTGTAGGAATATAAAATTATGAGCAATAGAGTCTCTAGATATTGAAAAATGTCTTCCTCTTGTACTCTAAATGTGACAACTACTAAAACCTTTAGAGTTAAGCATAATCTTCTTGTTCGAAGTAAATTATTTTACCTCTGTAGTACAATTGTGGATCTCATGAACAAATGAGTTACAAATAGAACATGCATCAAGTTTCTAATAATAAGTCCCCGCTTCCTCAAACCTAAGACATTTATCTTCATCAAGATAGACAATCATAATAATATGTAAGCTTTATGAGTGCACACACCCTTTCCAATGTAAAACTAATTTTTTAGGCAGCATTTCATCAAAATAGGATTTTAATTCTATAAGCCACTTTAAAGTAACTTCCAAATATTCAACATCGAGGTAAAAGATCATGAAATTTCAGAAAAATCATCCTCCCAACGGAGCAATTTCCAAAGTTTTGAAATATGAAGAATAAAAAATAAAATATGAAGAATAAAAAATAAATAAATAATCCTTCATAAAATTTATTTTATATTAAGGCACCTAGAGCAATTTTATAGCATTGTACCATATAATGATATTTTATCAATCTCATTGCTCACCACAATGTGGTTTCTTACTTGTATTCCTCGATTCACATCTCCTCAAAGAAAGAAATCAATTTGTTAAATCTTTCATCATAAGCAAGATGGAAATTGTTGGTTTTAGGAGCATAGGTAGTTTATGTAGCGAGGATTGATCTCTACTTTACAACCCAAAAAAAGATGAGGGAGATTAGGACCAGCACCAAGAGAAAGTATGGAAATAAGAAAAGTTAAGGAAGGAAAACTTAACGTATTAGAAGAAGAGAAAGGCATTAAAAGAGATTTGGTAGAAGGAACTCTCAATAAAGTAAAGATTTCTGAAAATTCAAAAAATGAGTGAGGAGCAACGAGTTCGAAGGTGATGAAGAGAAAAAGGGCATGAAACTCACCGACAAAAGCTTATATGAAGAAGAGAAGCAAAACAATAAAATATGTAACTAATCAAACATTTGGAAGAAGAGCTAGTACTTGAGGCAATGCCAAAAAAGGGTGACAAGAACTCCTAGCTTCCCCTTATTCCTCCGAACAAATTATCTTTTATTTTATTTAATTATTTATTTTTGATTTTTTTTGTGTGTGTGTAAATCTTCGACCTCAGTACCTTAGTAATCTTCTTCAAACATAGCCCATGACAATGTGGATAAGGTAGGGTTTAAAAGAGTAGATATAGCAGAGTTCTTGTATAAATGCCAAGTGTCATTCAAGTAGATATAGAATAGAAGAAGAAAATTGGAAGAATTTTTCAATAATTCTCATTTTTTCTTTATTCTTGGGGTTGCTTGATAGCAAATAGGATTTAGCAAATTCTGAATTTTGTAATTCCTATTAACAAAGGTTTACTAAATCTTGAACTTTAAGTCTCTAAAATTATTCTGTTGAAATATATTTAATCTGAGGTAATTTTGTGAAAACTGTTTAAAAGAAAGGCAAAAAGAATCAAATCAAGAATTTAAGGCTAAACTCAGTCAATTCATCCAAATCCTACACTTAAGGAAGCTCTAAACCCTAACAAATAGACAACTTTTTTTTTTCTATCCAAGCATTGTGAAGATCCAATCTATTACCCAGCAAAAACCACACAATTTTAACACACCTAATATATAATATAATTGGGTAGAACTGTGTTGTCATATGTGCATATTATGATTAAAACAGAGGGTAGTAATGATACAAAGTATTTGATAATATACATTACTGAGAGAAATGTTTCTTGCACCGAAATATTCATCACAGCATACATACATACATATATATATATATATATATCTATATATATATATATATATATATATATCATCACTCTTTTACGTATATAAAAAGTGTGAATTATGCTGTAAAGAAACATCTCTTTATTCCAGACCATTACATGATAATATATTTTAAGGAGGCATTTGAGAGGAACTAAGAAAGTGAGGACCTCACAAGCAACCCTTGCAGGCTCTTCACGGTTTCATAGATACCTTGGTTAACCGGGATGAACTCGAGGCCAAGGTCCTTCAGCTTCTGGTTGGAGAACTTGAATGCCTTTTTCCTTGGGTTTATCTCATCAGAGCACCTGCACAAATATTAATGCCAGAAGGTAAAGATTTCTGATATTTTTTTAAGGATGGAAATTCAATTTCAAGCCACATATATCCGACTGATTATAAAGATTCATTGGATCAGGCTGTCATAAATTGTATTTGTTAAAAGTTAGGGCACGAGCTACTAAAATTAGAGTCATTGTTATGAACAATTTTGTGTTTGCTTCAGTGAAACGATTATTCAATTCATTAAATTGTATATCGATGCTTATATAGAAACGCTAGGAAAAAAGACAGTTAAGAAAGGCATTTTAAAAGAGAAAATACTTATAAGAAGTATAGTTGATTCTATTAAGTCAAGAAATGAAAATGTAATATGTAAAACATTAAAATAAAAGTCCGCCTAAGCCAGACGCGGAACATATTGAATATTAATTAAAATTTTAAAGTCACAATTGAATTAGTTGGCAAGAATTACAACTATTATCTATATTAAAGTAGGCGGAGGGAAAATGAAAAAACGTTGGATTGTAATATAAATATTAATAATTAATATAGATAATAGTTGTAATTCTTGCCAACTAATTATCTATATCTGCGTCTGGCTTATTATCTGATTATTATCTAATTCAAAAAACGTTAAATTTTGAACGTTGGATTTTTTTCATTCATTCATTTCCTAGTAGGTCTGCATCTGCGCGGTCCCGCTTGTGATTCTGTGCGTACGAAGCGTTTATTATGTGAAATCTAAAAGCTTGCTTCCAAAAGAAGCTTTAATAACATAATTTATTAGCTAATCAATTAGTATGTATCCTACTTTTTGATGAAAAGCTAGAAAATATGGATTGACTCAGTAATTTGAGAGTAGCGCCAATTTAATACAAATAAAAAATTTGAGATAAAATATAAAAAATAGAATAAACTAAATAACATGTGAAATTATTATTAAAATTAAAAAAATAAATATAGATAACAAAATAAAGGGTTCATTTGGGGCATTTATTCTCTATATTTTCAAAATGCGGCCGATACGTTTGATTACGGCTTTTGGCGGACAAATCGTTGAACGTCGGATTCTTATTATATTAAACATCGGCCGCAAGTTCCACCCCTTGGCCAAGCGTTCGGAGTTAAAACTTACGTACATGCCCTCATTCTGCTTGCCCTCATGAACGAACACGGCCACCAATATCCTCTCCAGCGACTTCATGATCAGAAATTGCATCATCAGTCCAGGCCATGGGACAATGTCTCTGTCGAGATCGGTGACCACTTGACGACAAAGACATCTTTGATGATTAGAGCCTTCAGGTGGACAACCACAAGGCGGGAGGGGTCTTAAGGATGGAGCCCAGTTCAGTCCGCCTGTTCTCGCGCACACGCAAAGACTCTCGCTCCCGTTCGCTAAAGGTCGCGACCATGTTGTTCGCTGTTCGTGAATTGCTCCGATGTCGCGAATAGTCGCAACGTCTTTGCTTCCTGTTTGTGATAAAAGGCATCTCAGCGGCTCTCCTTTGGTTTCTAAGTCACGATTTTTTGTTCTTCTTCGAGCTTCCTCGGGATAGAGGAAGAGAAGTGCAAACAGTAATTCCTTACAGTAGAAGGAAAAAGAAAGAAAAAGAATATTGTTCTCCCTTGACTTCTTCTTTGTGGCTTGTGGCACAAGAGAAATTTGGTTTATTTCTCTTATAAGTTTATCATCTTCGGTGTATCTCGATCTAGAGATAGAAGAGAGAGAAGAAGAGAGCAATGAAGTGAGAGATTCCTCTATTGATATAAATTCCTCAAGTAGTAAAATCCTCTGCATCTCCGTGGACGTAGGCAATTTGCCGACCACGTAAATCTGTGTTCTACCGTGTTATTTTTTATGTGAATTTTTTCATGTTTTTTTTCACTTCGTCGTTGATCGTTCTCATATTTTATTTCTATATACCACAACAACTGGTATCATAGACCGTGTTTCAAATATGAGGAAAAATGATGGCTGCAGATGAAGTGAATGTTTCAGGGATCAAAAAATTTGATGAAACAGATTTTTGTTACTAAAGGATGCAGATAGAGGACTATATGTATGTGAAGAAACTTCATCTTCCGTTATTAGGGAAAAGACCTGAAAGAATGGATGGGATGAATAGAATTTGTTGGATCGACAAGTTTTGGGGTTATTCGATTGACCCTATCGAGGTTCGTTGCACACGTCATCAAGTAAAAGATTACTGTAAATCTCATGACAGTCTTATCAACTATGTATGAAAAATCATCAGCGAATAACAAACTGTACTTGATGAAGAAGTTATTCAATTTGAAGATAGAGAAATGCACATCTTTTTTACAATACTTGAATGATTTTAATACTATCACAAATCAATTATCGTATGTGAAAATTGAATTTGATGTGAGATACGTGCACTTATCATGTTGGCTTCATTGTCAAATAGTTGGAAAGTTATGAGGATAATTGTTAGTAATTGTAAACTGAAATGTGATGATATTCGTGATTTGATTTTTTGCTGAGGATGTGTGCAAGAAAGATTTTGGCAAAATCTCAGGTACGAGTTTGACACTGAATGTTAATTTCAGAGGGAGATGATAGAACATGAACTCAAATACATGAACTCAAATAGAGGGAACTCAAATAGAGGGAAATCAAAATCAAAGTCTGGTCAACAGACAACCTGCTGGAATTATGACAAGGCTGTCCATATAAAGAGGAACTGTAGGAATCCCAAGAAAATGGAGAATGATAGCACAAATGTGGCATCTGCAAGATGCACTATTGTTGGCAGTTCATAGTTCTGTTGATGATGAAAGTAAAAATGAGAGTGAGTCTAGGGCACTTATTCCTATTGTTTCACAACAGATGGTGGAGAACCACAGAACACTGAAGAAATCTTGTAAGATCAAAGTTTGAGCAAGTGGGAGCTGACATAACTTCCACCAGGAAAGAAGACATTACACGAGTGAGTGTACCTGTTGACCTCACTTTTGGGTAAAAGTTTTTAGTCTTTTCTTTAGAAGCCTAGGATCAAGCCATATGACTTTCCTGTTGACTTTTTAAAGGACTAATGATGGTGTATCCTCATCAATAGAAATTCTAAACTCTTCTTTGCTCATCTTGAAGTTTCACATGTTGGTTCTTACCTCTAGCACTTTGTAGGTAGAGCTACTATATAGGAGCTCAAAAGGGTTCCCCATATGACTGCTTGACCTTAGGGTTAACCCTGGGTAATGTGGCTTGATTTAGCACATACTTGCACTTCACACTTTCAATAACAAGCTTGAACCCTAACATACACATGTTTAGTTTGGCTTCCTTGCCTCTTTGGATACCCATGTGGGTGGTTCCTCAAACCCTTAGTTCTTTGTTACGGTGGGTAAGACCAACACATGGAGAATCCAAAGTGGGGTTTCTTTGGTCTCATGGCACCGTGAGGGTAATTTTATGATCAATATTTGCATCAAAAATTAACCTTACCCAAATTAACAGAAATACTCCAAAATTTTCATATTTACTATCAAATTTTCCAAAATCTTCCACAGTAACCAATGAGTCCTAAAAATCACAACAAATCATTTCTTATGTTAAAAAATTCTTCGGGATCATAAAACCTTCTACATTGGTTGAAAATGACCAGACAATATTGTTTGACTCGAAATTTCTTCCTGACCATTTAGAGCTTTTAAATTAATATTTTGATCACTTGACAAAAGTTGGTCATAATTATCAAAATGCCACACATTGCCCAAAAATTTCCAAATTCTCCAAAATCATTTTACACCTCTAAAATCATTTCTTGACCATTTATTGGGTCTAATTTGACCAAATTCACTCACTTTGACCAAAGTCCCCTCAATTTCAAATTCACATCAAATTCAAGATATTTAGATCCAACTTCAATTGAATTTAAATCCATTTAATTGGCTCATGATCAATTTCCAGAAAGATCGATTGCGAACTAAAAAATTTGACAAAAGTTAAATTGGATGCATTTTTGACATGACCGTCAATGAAAGTTGTCTCAACTACTCTAGATGACGAAACAGACAGCATGAGTGTGTTCAGAATGTCGATTTTAATCAGGAAGGATGTCCACTTCGTTGCGAGAACAGATCCGGACAAAAAATACGGGATTGTGTAATATAATCTAATATCCTATCTCTATTATAACTCACGCATGTAAATATCCAATCCCATGGGCAACTGTCATTCACTCCGACGCCTATAGATAAAATAAAAATAAAAAATAAAAATAAAAAAATCTCTCACGCCTCTCTCTCTCTCTCTCTCTCTCTCCCACGCCTACAGGTGTAATAAAAAATAAAAAAATCTCTCACGCCTCCCCCTCCCCCTCGCCATAAAAGGTGGCCAAAATGAAAAAAAAAAAAAAGGGAAGAGGAGGAAGAAGAGAGGAAAGCTAGTCAACTTCTTTTGGAGCCACCAAACCCACCTACACTCTTGAGCAAAATTATGCTCATTGGCTTGAGGAACACAACCATCACCTCCTCCATTGACGGAAACCACCGATATAGCCGGAAAAGCGGAAACAGAGCTAAATTCCGGCGAACCTCAAACCCGACGAGAAAGCGACGTCAAATCGACGCCACAAGGAGTTAGGTACGCTCAATGAAGCATAGTTATTCAAACCTAATTGATGACAAATCTCTTAGGCTCAGGTATATCTCTTAAATTGAAACAATAATCTGGAACTTCCCTCCGTTCCAGATCAAAAAATAAACCACAAAACACCTAAGTATTTGTATGGATGCGATCTACTTTTTTATTTGAACAAAAAGTGCCCAAGAATGCCAATTTTTGTTGAGAATCGGTGGAGAACGGACTCACGGAAGTTTCAGCCGCAGCTTCTTTCCTGTGCGTCGCGGGTATCGTCGAGGGAGGGAGAAGATATCGTTGCAATTTTTTAAAATTTTTAATTTCAATAATTATAAATTAATTTTAAAATTACATAACTTTTTTGTAGAAAACTTGAAAAATTAAACTGAAAGAAGCTATGAACTCAAAAAATTAAGAAGAATTTTTTAAAATTGAAATCACAAATTTTCACCAAATGAATATTTTTAAATTAATTTTTGAAATCCTGGAGTATTTAAATCATAAAAATTAAAATATAAATGATAAAAATGGTCTTGTTGGAATCTTCTCTGATTTTTTCAAACCATCTTAATGTCTCTATATTTATATTTTGAATTTTGAACAAAACGACATA